GAGGGTACAGTCAAATCCCAAAGGGTTGATGAAATGCCAAGTTTTTTCATCCCAATTTTGGTGCTCCTGGGTCCTAAGTCGCTGGTTCACTCCCAAGTTTAGCGGGTTTTTCGAGCCACTTCTATGGGTTTTTCTACTGATTTTCGATTGGATGTTCTACTGGATTTTCACTACCCTCTGGTTATTTAACAGTTCGCCATGGAAAATCATCATGCTATTAAGTTCGCTAAACCATCTATTTCTATGGGCCATCCAGACCATTCTATACCATGGCTATGTAACAAATAACCAGATGGTAAATCTCTTGGTTTTTCGGGTGATTTTTTTGGCACCTCCGTCCGCTTTGATGTCCCCCAGGATGGCCGAATCCCGGCGATAGCCGCCCTGGCTGGATGATGTTTTAGGGGTACCCCCTAAATCTAGGACACCGAAAAACCGAAAAAAAAACATAGTTTTTGAGACATAGATGCTGTATTATATGAACATAAAATATCGTAAAATATGTGAACATAAATCATTGATAATCATTGATTATCATTACTTATACGGCTAAGTAGGTCCTAGCAGGTGGAATATGGCTGGTGGAACAAGTTCTCAGCAACTCAGGAAGTGGAACACATTTTTAATTTTCTCTGATGGAACCTGTCTTGGGTTTTGATGTGTTGCAATGTGACTGAATTTGTTCCGCATGGAGGAAACATGTACGGTGCCAGGTTATCCAATTGGCATCAACTGGCCATGTCATTGTAACTCTGGTGGGTGTTGCACGGAATGAATCACACCACATAGAATTCACCTTTTATGGGAACCTGAAAAGGCTTAAACCGGGGGGGTCACATGGTGGGAGTATCTTCATATCTAGCTGAGTTGTAATCATTAGTCATTCACCCACTGAAATCAGGTCATCATCTGAGGCTTATAACTCATCCAAATCCTATGGTGTTCCCAGTTCCCTTCATTCCCAGGATTACTGTAACTGCTAGATCTTCAAAGTTGCCATGTGGACTTGGGCTTCCGTTTGGAATCTTCGGGTTCTCGTCTTTGCTGTGACGGCCAAATGTTGTTCAGCAAGAAACATCACATGCGGGTATCAACGGACCCACAAACAGTTAGGCATTGTCCAGTTGGCTAAGCAATTTGAGAGAGCCATAGCCATAGCCCTTTAGCAATTTCCAAATATATCAGCACCCTCCAGTAAACTAAGAAAAAACATGGAAAATCCATGAAAATCCACCATTTGTAGATCATTTCCATCGCTTTTTCTATGACCAGAGGCTATACCAGGCTGGCTAAGGCTCTGACCATCACGTCCACGCCTATCTTGGATGGCCTCAGAGATATTCTCATCCATTATTGCTATTGCTATTATGGATCACTATTGGATAGAAACAGTATATGATATTACATCACGTATAAAGTAATATCATGTAATATCTTATATGTGTTTTGATGTATGACGATCCGCATCAGTTTGAATCATTTTGTGGATGATGATGGCGACGACCATCACACGGGCGTGTTTGTGGTTGATAGCTATCCTGGTCATCATTCTGGTTTCTTATGCGAAAAAATAATAGATCATAAACCAGCGAGTCATTGCCAACAGCTAATTTGCAAGGTAACCATATGGACATATTCAATCATATTCAACTTGACCATTTGGATCTATTTGGATCCATAGCTGGCGAATCTTCTAAACCAAGATGATATGATGATATCCCATAAATATATCCCATTGAGTTTATCCATTTAGTCTACCACTGACAGACTGATATCTCATAAATCTCCCAGTTTTTAACATCTGAATGTTGACCCCTCGGCCCGCCACCCCAGTGGCGCTTTCCGCACAGCACTGGGGCGTTCCGACTTCCTCTCGCGGATGGTGGGTGCCAGTAGGTCAGACAGGGACCCGGAGTTGATCATGCCGCCTGGCGAGATCATGGGAGATCAGCAACACAAAAAAAGGAAGATCACTGGTGGATAGGATGACTTACTATGATTCAATATGAGTTAATATGGGTCAAGATGGGCTTGTATGGTTTCAGATGAGTTTCAAGCTGACTAGAACATAGGAAAAAACCAACACAACTTGGGACTTGAAGCTGGATTCACATGGGTTTCATCGTTTTTCATCCTAGAAAATGATCATCAAAGACATTCAAACACAGCAGAATTGGGATGTCGATCTTAGCACCTCCGAAAGTGATGTTTGGGTGCTCCCAGTCATGGGTGGTAACAATGACATTGTTTTAACCACATTAATCATCATTCCATAGATATTCCATAGGTATTCCATAGATATTCCATAGATATTGCAGTATAACCACATTACCATTCCCATTAACATTCCCATTTTCCTCATCCAAACTGGCCATCACCTGACCTTGCACGCTGGGACGTTGGCCTCCATACCCGCCGCTGTGCTCGTGCATGATCTGACTTCCCTGCCTGCTACTGGTAGATCGGATGCAAATTCCACCAAACATATGGTAGTTTAAGGATCAACATTGGAAGTTCATCAACCAAAAAATGTGATTTTATGGGATTTGATCATCAAAAATTGGATTTTAATGGGATTTAACCAACCAAACTGGTTACTTAGCCAATGAAGAAGGGATATGGATTCGTGATATATTTTTTTGTGGTATGTAACCATAACATTGGTATTCATGATTGGTAACATGATGAAACCATGGATTTGGGGGTAGCTATTTTCAGATAAACCCACATAGTGACAACCCCTCAATGAATGTTAACCTTGGCTGATGAATTTGGTCTGAAATAATGGAATCATCTTCAGCAAACCAGGGTTTACTCATCCCGGATCCCTCAGTTGACAAGTGGTTCGTACTTCTACATTGCACATGAACTCACATATCTATCTATACATCATATGTTAGTGCCAAGACACACACAATTGAAAACCATTAGGCACCACTTAATTTTCAACATGTCGGGTGGTTTTCGAGCTTTGGGACAGAAGTGCCAGCTGATGCACGTACATCTGGGATTTGCCTGGTTTTTTCAAGCCACCAGAAATACATGATCTGTCAGATCCATCAAATCACCATGTATAAAAATTAATATAATGATTGGATTGAACGACATTAATTAAATCAATATAATATGAATAGTTGGATGTAATATGATGTAATATGATGTAATATGATGCAATATGATGTAATATAATGTATTAATTTTATAATGGGATGTATATAATATAATTAATTGTTTTCATTGGATAATATGATGTAATGACATATAAATGAGTCTTGTTCAAATCGATCAAAACTGATCCAGGAAAGCACCTGGATTGAAGTCTGGAGGAGGAGGAACGCACTCGATCCTCGGAGTCCATGATGTCATCAGGTTTCTTTTAAGAAAGCAAACGACAACACATTTGGTTTATTCTTGGCAGATCAGCATCTATCTAGTCCTTGGACCAATGATTCACCAAATGATATGAATATGGGTTGTGTCATTGCATATCCCAAATTCAGATCCGAAGAGAGACCAGGCATTTATCTGCTCTGAGTCAAACTTCGCCGACAACAATTAAAATTATACTGACACATGTATACAGTGTATCATAGAATAGACATATATATATGTATAATTATATAATTATATATATATACACAGTACAATACAATGATGTGGATTTGCGTGGTTCATGTTGATTGCACTATATTGCGCTGTTGTACAGTACTCCGTCATTTTATTTTATTGCTTGATTTACCAGGTTTTAGGATTGATGTACTCATTTTGGGCTTAAAACAAAATTTGGGTATCCACTTATCCACTATTTTCAGACTTCAACCCATATCCATATGATTGATTGCTGAACACCCTATTAGTATGTTTGTTGGTGAAATCCCATCATATAGAAATCCAATGTTAAGATCCAATCTTCTATGTTTAAATCCCATTAAATCATATTAAATCACCATTTTTGATACTTAAATCATCTTAAATCTCATAAAAATCATCGTGGTGGTTGCTGAACATCTACATTTTTCCTACCAAAAAAAAACACGCCATTGCCATCAAGCCATTGACAGCTGAGGCCATCGACCAAGCCGCCCCGTGCCCTGTGCGGATCAACCATCCACTGGCAAGAAGGATATATGATATACAATGATATATCATATATATATATATGTATGTATATAAATATATGTATATATAAATATATATGATATTATATATATGATATATCATATATATATATATATACATGATATATTATATATGTGATATATCATATATATATATATGATATATTATATATATGGTGTGTATATATAGACATATATATATATATATAAAGGGGGGGTTCCATAAATGGGGTACCCAAAATAGATGGTTGACAGGGGAAAATCTTACTAATTAACATGGATGATTTGGGGGTACCCCTATTTTAGGATACTGTGGATGGTTGCGAAATCCTGCACCACCAAACGGATGGTTGAAACCCTATAAATAATGGGATGCTTACCATCCATCAATTGGTGCAGGATTTCGCAACCATCCACAGTATCATTCGGGTAAAATCTATGATGTTATTTTTTTAGTCGTGGTGGTTGATACAGAATATCTAACATGTCATATGGATAATGAACATATATTGTATATATATATATATATAATATACACAATATGATACACACATATACACAATATCTGAATCAATATCTGTGAATGTATACTTAAGTAAATGATATATATATATATATAATATAAAATCCATGTAATATCAGTTACATGATATGTACCCATAATATCTATGTGATTACACACTCAGCGATATAAAAACACTGCGGCACCCCTCAAAAAAAACCACTGTGTTTGACTGTGTTCAACAGATTCTGTGGATTCATAACTGACTCACCACACGTAACATCCGCTCCATTGACCATTGATGATTTTGTATCAAACCATACACTTTGCGCCATGGTTTGGCACTTCACCCATCTTACATAAACCCATCTTACATGCCCTCAGCCCTGCCCCACCATTGCACCATCCCATCGTTTCCACAGCCTGAATCGCATCTCATCGCAGTCATACGCCACAAAGTTCTGCCGGTGAAGCTGAACCCCGAAACACTGTGAGAACTTTGTGGATTTGGATCGGAAAATCGGGCAATTGTGAGATGCTCGGAACCCTTCACAAAAAATCCCCTTGGAAGAGGTGGATACAACGGATTCCTGCACGGGGATCCCTCTTCGACATAGCAAGGCATTGCCAACAGACAGGTCGGTAGGGGATCATCCAAAGGGGGAATTTAGTTGCGTGCCGCCTCATAACGAAGAGGAAAAACAACTAGGTCCACACTAATTACCAACAACTAGTACAAAACTTCTGTCAATTATTTTTGGCAAATGGTCATATGTTTTTCTGGCCAACACATTCATCATGTATAGAACCATTTCCAGTCACCCAAACAGTACCCCGGGCCCATGTCCACTGCCGCGAACGCGCCTCTGTAATTGCAATCCAACCGTTCGGAGGAACCATCTCTCTTTCAACTCAGCATGCGGAGGTGAGGTGCCGAGAGGTTTTTGGAAGGCCAGTGGGGCCGAGCATGCCGAGCTTCTAGGAAATCCACCAGATTCTCATGATCAAAGGTTTGAAATTTAAGGGAAATTCACGGGGAACCATGTTTTTTTCACAAATGTCTTACTCGAAATATGGGTTTCAACGTGCAGTGAAAATCGTCCCTTACACCAACTGTTGGACACGAAAAAGCCAAGCAAGGATGAACTCTTGGGGCTGGCGGTTGCTGGTTGCTGGTTTCAACATGGGTGTGCCTGAAAATTGCAGTTTTACTAGGGATAATTATTAACTATAGTGGATTTTAGGAGGCCACATGTCATTTATATAAGAATTTGGCAGATTGACAATTTCAGGTGAAGATCAATTATGGTAAAATCATGGTTTCAGCAAAAATCACCAGGAATCACTTCTAGTTATTACCTTCAAATGTAGATTGTCCTCAAACCAGTACTGCGAAGACTGGTTGGCGTCAACACATGCTTTAAAAGTAGAAATGAATTGGGTTTCACCCAGAACAAAGATGTATAGCCCCAGGGCCTGTGCGACCAAATCATCTCCAGGGACTTCCTGGAATATCTTTACTGGGATGAAAATGGTTGATTCACCATCACAACCCGTCACAACCCCAATTTGTGATGGCTAAATCAGCTGCACATGTTCCTAATAAAAAAAACAGCCCTAAATGGTTCCAAATAGGCACAAATCACCTACTGAAACATGGTTTTTGGTGCTTGTTTGGTATGAACGTGCGTAGTTTTGGGCTTCGGAAATCCACTGTGTGTTTAATCAGTTCTATCCCATCTGATCCGATTATTCACCCTTGTCACAATGTGAAGGATGGTCATTCATAATGTCTAGTTTCCTCTTTAAACCCCGATTGATACTCAACATCCATCATAATGGGTTAATACTTATCATTATTTTCCATTATAGTTTTCGCTAAATCCCCATGATATCACCATCATATCCACATTATATCACAACATATCACCACTATGGTTTGTTTTTATGCCATATATTCCCCATTAAATCAAAAAAAACACATTAAATCCCAGAAAATCAAATTTGTTGATGATTAAACGTCCACAAAACCTGAGCTCCACAAACAACAAATCCAAGCCAAGGGACCCAGGTCTGCAATATGCAGAGTGCGGTTGGCACGTTCCTCCCATCGCACCTCGCGTGCGGAGATCATCCCACATGATCCCTACGATCTATGGGATATAGTGAAGAATAGTTATTGATTATCACTATAATGGGATTATATGGGTTATGATAATGGTTATACTGCAATATCTATGGAATATCTATGGAGTATCTATGGAATATCTACGGAATATCTATGGAATGATGATTGATGTGGGTAAAACAATGTCATTGTTACCACCCATTTTCCTGGGAATGGTAAGTTTATACATGTTTATACCATCTGTAAAAATGCTGATGACTGGGGCATGGTGCAAATGGCATTGTTTTACCCGCATTGTACCTCCTATTTATCAAAATATTAAAACGGGTCAATCATTAATGATGGGATAAGAACAACCACTGTGATATTATATATAATATCGATAGAATGGGAGTTTGAAACCATCATATTCATCCCTGAAAATCATTGAACATGTATGGTTAATGGATGAAACCAGGGCTGTCATGGGGACAATTTCCGTGGCTTCGATGGGTTATGGTCATCTCATAGTAGGAATCCTTAACCAATGGCTTATTTTTTTACATCAATGGGTGGATGACAATCCCCTATGGGAACGGAAAAAAACACCTTTACCATTTGAGGCTTAAAAAAGGAAACCTTCAAAACAATTGGTCTACTGAGTCTACTGGTGAGGTGACCATAAGCCGACAAGGAACATCAAGCAACAACAAATGGAGACACGAAACGATACTTGGAACTGATGACAAAACTAGTAACAGAGATATGCATGGGCCGCAAGTTCAGATCAAGGAGACGACAGCCGTGATTTTCCGTCCGTAAACTCTCCAAGTCAATGAGGGCCCGTTTTTGACCCATGCCATATGGGATAGGATTGGACAACAGTGACGTAAACAACGGGATGGTTGAAGACGGAACAGAATGACAAAACTGGCACCGGAACAACCAAACAAATGGAAAGGATGGAACGATATTTTTGACCGATAATTAAAGGCCGACACTTTTTAAAGGATGGTTGCAAAAATGCTTCGGATTTTCCGATTTCAGTCCCTGCGAGACATCCCAATTCCAATGTCTATTTTCATTCACATGTGACATCATGTGACATTGAACATTTTCCACCAGCAACAAAAACACCAACAAAACCAGATCCACCACACTAAAACATCACAAACTGCCGTGCCCCATGGATGATGGGCTCGCTTCGTGAATCTCTTCCGTTCCTGAGATCCCCGGCACCGGCGCCATTGTTGTCGCAAATGACATATTTGTACTCCACGACTTTGCCCTCACCGGGTCACCCAGGTCACCGGTGACAAAATGGGTAGCGACAAATACGCAGCCTGTAAGCGTTACTAGAGGATTTACCACTATTGAAGTAATGTGGTCATTATAACCTCCAAAAAATTCTAGTAAAATATGATTACAACCAAAGATTGATCAAAGAATTTCACCTGGGCAAATGAAGGAATCGTTCTTGAATTCTACGCCCATGTTGAGACGGTTTCCCTTCTCAACCATCATCTAGGTCGTTCTGAGGTCGCGCCTTAGCAGCTGGTTGACAGTTCCAATCACCAGCTTGGCCACACAGAGGCTACCAATTTGAGACTGATCATCTTCTCCGAAACAACCCTTTTTTCAGTGCATATGAAAATGAAGATAAACCACCACAGCGGCTTTAGCGCAAACCCTTTTTCAAGCAAACCCAAATAATCACAGAACAGATCGAATACACTTACCTTTCAATTTCTAGACAGCTTTCCTGTTTGGAGGGTGCAATTTCAAATTCCATATACCCAGTGTGGCGATATATCTGAAGACATGTCCTCCCAAATCGCATAATTCATCATAATTCATCTTCAAACAAAGCAAATATCTTGGGCGCATGAAACGGATCCTTTCGCAATCTTATTTGTCATCATTTGTGGGGATAGCTAAACTTAGAAACCCTGCAAACAAGTTATTAAAGTATATAATCAATTTTCAACTGCTTGGTCTACGGCAAGACAAACATAACCAACCCATTTCTTATAACAACCAACAACCTCCCAAATACTAAGCTTGACGCTGAAATGAAAAGGGGTTCCTCCTTGAACAGGGTACTTCTTTGGGAAGTAAATAGAGGGATCAAACTACCACCTGATCCACCCATTGACCGTGGCTATCCGCCCCCCAGCCGTAGCTTTCGACCTCCTCAAGTGGAGTGGGTTCCGTCTGCTTCCAATTGGGAAAATCGCTGGCCGAGGTATTGAGCACAAGGCCTAGGCTCGGCTGGGAGGAAGCTGCTTTGATGTCTTTTTTTAAGAAGGTTGGGCAAACCGGGTTAAGGTTTGTTAAGGTGATGATTCAGTTTTCTTGGAAGTTTGGGACGACGTTCTCCTTTCAAAAAACTCTTCTGCTAGTAGAAACTCCATGTTTTTTTGAGGGACATATTAGGACATATGTGAAATTGTTGTATGTTTCCATTTCCGAGTTTGATGACCCAACAAAAGCTTACCACGGAACTTGGAGAATCATCGAGCCCAAACCAATTCTTGATGGGTTCCCTGGTAGTCTCAAGGGTGGTAATTCTGTTGGCATCAGTCATAAGTATCAAAGCCATGGCAGCCATGTTGAAACCTTCATGAACCTCTGGGCGACGCCTGCTTGAAGTCTATATACTGCAAAAGTGTAATCATAACACCTGAGAATTTCATCAACTTGTATTGGATACACTGTTCAAATTTATCCAAACAGATGGAGGCTTCCGAACAATATTTCAATACTACAATGATCTCATGACTTGGCTGATTTGTTTGGACTCCTATTTTAGGAAACCCGCATATAGAGCATATATAGAGCCGCTATATACAGTTCAAACTCAGACTTTCGACCATCGCTTCCGACGTTCCTCGCCTTTTTGTGGATCCCATTCACCCAATGCGGCCACACTGCCTCAGGGGGTCCATGGAACCAATGCCCCCGTTGATCGAACTGGAACCATGCGGAAGTACGGCAACAAAAATGAAAAAAATAAGGCAAGCATCATGTGTAAAGTCCTTGGAACAAAAATGACTGTTTACTAACTTCCTTTTTTGGGGGTGTCTATATACTTGATGTAACAAAATGGATAGATAACGATACATATGAGTAGCGGACAAAATTATTTGCTAATTTTTAGGGTCGTGCCCTATCGGTTATGAAGGTTTCCTGCAGCCTCAGAAAGGCCAAGGCGAAGCAAGACTAAATTAGTATTACAATAATTTTGTCGGTTACTCATATGGGGGGTTCCACATAAATGGGGAATCCCCATAATGGTTGGTTTATAATGGAAAATCCCACTAAAATGGATGATTTGGGGGAATCAATTTCAGGAAACCTCCATATTGAATTATGGGCATCTAATTCCAATAGGCAAACCTCCAATGATGGCTAGTTGTACTCTGAGTGAGGTCACGAATCATACGAATGCAGCGAATGGCCTCACGAGTTGTGTTTGGGTAATTAACTGAACTTACAATATCTGATGTCATCTGGCATATCTGGCATATCTGGCATATCTGGCATATCTGGCATATCTGGCATATCTGGCTTACAATCATTCACCAATTCCATATGAACGATTTGGTGATGATATGTGATGATGTCCGACCAACCAGAAAGGATTATAACCAACCAAATCACCAACAATAATCCAACCATAATCCATTCAGCGTCCAATTCTCATACCCCCAGAGGGGCCCCCGCCTACCACACGCACATGCAGGCCCACGCGCGTGTCGGCGCACTTCACGGAAAAGGAGACCTGGACGCTTCCCTGGGGGGTTTTCCCTGGGGGATCCCCAAAAAATGGATAGTTTATAATGGAACATCACATCAAAAAGGATGATTTGAGGGTACCTCTAGGAAACCCCCAAATTTGGATTTGGCATAGACAGCATATTTGACACCACCAACCATTATTTCATGTTGACCTGTCTCTCAAGAAAAACAACGACGCCTAATACCAAAGTTGCTGTACACGAAACCTGTGGTTGAGTTTGTATCAACTTCGACTCAAAATTAAATGAACTCAAATCGTTCGAAGAATCACCATAGTCTGACGTGCCCTGAACCTTAATTTCATATAGCATTCCATGATTTTCCATCTGGCATGATTACAATTGTCCCCCAATGCATAATTTTCCATGTTTATCTATATATACATCATATGTTTATTGTCTAGCACGTCTCACTTATCACTTGTTTATTGGGTGTCATTACAACATTATCCCGTATTGTTTCCAAATGTTTCCAGACATTCATTAATATCTCCATTGTATCCCCTTCTATGGATACCCCAAATTGATGGCCAATCACGGGAAACATATCAAAAACCATCTTGGTTTTTGGGGTGTTTTCCCCAGAATTTTCAGACATACCGATATTATGCCATTATTATCCCAATAATATTTTATACATATGGAATATTTTATCCCAAAATATTATCCCACATATCATCCCCAATATATATATATAATACAAACTCTAATATAAAAACATATAACATGTAAAATATATAATATAATATATAAAAACAAATAAAATAACATATCAACAAATACATATTATGTATATATATACACTACATAATACATGATACGAAATATATAGTGTATATATATATATAAACCAATATAATCCAATATATATATATATACATATATATATATACACATATAATGATATATATATATATAATATATAAAATAAAACCTAATAAACATATTAAACAATCTGATCTTGCATATCTATATATATATGAAAGTTTTAATGTATATAATATAAGAAACTATAATATGATAACGTATAAATGTGTATATATATATATATAACAGTCATATGTATTATACATTATGTGTAATATACATAACATATATATATAATACATGATATCTAATAGTATACAGAATATATAATATAGATGATAATATGCATCATATACAATATACATAATATATAAAGTATATATATATATTATCATTATCATGATCGTTATTATTTTGTTGATATAACTTTATATATTATCATACTATAATTATCTAACAAACATACATAACAATATGTATATATATACTATATAATAGTATCATATAATATAAAAATATTAGATATATATAGCCCGATAAAAATCAAGATATATAATTCTCAAAATTATATTATGATATATTATTATCCCAATACTATCGTTGGTTTTCTCTATCAAATGCTTCGGTTTTTCACGGCCTGGCGCGGCATCTGGCTGCTCTCAGACCTCGATTTTCGCGCAACGAAGGGTGGGAACTGAGGGCCCCGTTGTGGGTACATTATTACTATTTGTTATTATTAGTTAATTACTAATAATTACTATACATTATTTACACTAGAATAATTTGAGGTTTTCCAAACATGAGGTTTGGGTAGAATAATACACCAATGAGGTTTTGGGCACATTGTTTACATTATTTAACACATTTGAGACAGCAAATAAATATAACACTGGTAAATCATGGCTTTGAGTGTAATTTCAGAAGGGACCTTTAGCAACCTAAGCCTTTCAGAAACAAGAATAAGAATCCGACAATTGACATTTTGCCAGTTGTCATTTGCCATTCCCATTTGGTCCACTGGTGATTCATTACTGGTTGGTGGTTTCAACCCCTCTGAAACATATTAGTCACTTGGGATGATTGTTCCCAATATATGGAAAAATAAAAAATGTTCCAAACCACCAACCAGATTATTATTCTGAAAAATTGTGGGTCCCAAGGTCCCCATAGCCCAATACAGTTCCACTCCCTGTGCGCCAAGCGCACCTGGTGCACCGTTGCGGGCCGCGGGAACAAAAAGTAGTGACCCCCGCGATGATCTTGACCTTTCAATCCTTATGGCATGCACTATCCATTCTGAAAGAAAAACTCTAAGCCCTGTGGATTTTTTGGTTGTGGATCAGAAAAAACTGGATCTATGGGGTCACCCTTGATACCCTCATCGGTTCGCTGAGCTGTCCAGAAATCGATGTCTTGAACCGCGAGCGGCAAAGGGGTGTGGACATATGCCATGCCAAAAAGAGAACTTGAAGACAGGTGAATTGCCAACATGCAGATCAATCTTGCTAACGACCTAGTCTTTGCCACCAAAGGTAGATATATATATATATATACATATTACATATATTCAATATATATATATATATATACAATATATATATATATACAATATATATATATATACAATATATATATATACAATATATATTTATTCATATTAAAATAATACATATATATATATATACGTATATGTATGAAATTAGATGAATATGGAATATACACACAGTATGCTGTATATGTGGGTGCGCCCATACAACCGCTTGTGGGTGAGGAAGGTACAGGTCTACAGCACCAGCAGTTGGCTCAGCGCGGTCGTTGTACGCCGATAGGCCGTTACGCCGATCGATGTGGTGACGGTGCCCTATAATCAACCCTAAACCCAAACTATCCTCAAATAAACCCTAACTCTAGACAAACCGTAAAGAAACCCTAACCACCCCTAAAAAAACTCTAAGCAGCCCCAAATAAACCCGAAACAATCCATGAACCAACTCCAAACGAACCCTGAACAAACCCTAAACCCTAAACAAACGGCAATCGACGTATCAGTGTATCGCTGTATCAGTGTATCGTATCCGTGCGCGCGTGGTGAATCGGTGTATTCAGTGCGAAAAACGGTGAAACACGTTTAGCGGACCCTAATCCCAAACGCTAAGCTATTTTCCAAAGATATATATATATTATTTTAAAACTAACATCTCCATGTTAAATGATTCATACCCCACAACCATCAACTACCGGGGGATTTGGGGGCTTGCTCATCTGCCTCCCGGTTTTAGCACATCTTGTTTTGCTTTTTGGCGACATGTCGAGAGTACTCCCGGACGGCCAGCTACTCACTCTCCTCCTGACAGTAGAAGAATCACATGGTATATGGTTTATGATGTTTATGGTCATCCATGCCATAATGGAAATCCCTATTACTGGAGGAAGAGAAATTGCTCAATGGTATTAAGCATTCCTTTAATCTTTCTTGAGGATGAAAGGTACACATCATTCGAAACACTCTTCAGCCAATGGTTGGACCCAAACCATGCCAAAACACCTTCAAAGACAAACAAAATCATCAACAAATAAACATCCCAAATTTATTCCATAAATTTCAACAGCATTCCGGAAAGTTCCACAACATGTCGAGAAAACACATTGAACCAAACACAGAGTCTAGTAAAAAAACATCCAGAGAGTGTCCCTCTAATGAGTATCCTAGTAAACATAAACTTTTCGCCATTGTAAAGTACTAATATAGATCTAAACATCACCAATTTGCAGACTGTGTGCCCAATTTTTGAGCCATAATCTCGGATCATTGATCATCACCCCAGGGATAAAAATAACAAACATGTTAGAACATGTTTAAAGCACAATATTTTGATGAATGGCCTCCCAATCAGATTCTGCCCAGAAGTCTCCGGCGGAATCAGGATAATACAGGCACCTTATCTCTGATGAACGATGAAAAAAAAACGTATCCGATCCCGTTGTACTGTTTGCTAAATTGGTATCCCCATTATGGATTGTAAGAACCACCAATAAGCTACTTAGTATTTAGTATAACTGCTTAAATCAACACCAAACGCCGTATTTTGAGTGGCTCTCGTGGAACAATTCGGTTCACTTACCGAACTTCACCCCAAAACAGGCAGCGAAACAGCCTTGACCAGAGGACTCTTGGTACAAACCAAGGAATATGTCGTGCCGAAGTGTGACCGTTGCTCCTGTCGGGTGCAAAAAGTGCTCCAAGAAAATGCGTTGGGCCACCATGGGCGTGAAATTTGAGCATATTCCAACGTTACTATAAGGTGGTACCCCATACTTTTCGAATTTGGTTTAAAACTATATATATAATAGTATCGCTAGGATATAGGGTAGCTATAGCCAATTGGGTTTATAAACCAACTTATAACAGTGCGGGCACAGCATTGTACGGTAGTTCAACTGTGGTGCATAATAATCCGCACTTGTATATGAGCAGGAGTTAACTATCAATTTAAAGATGGCGTGTGATTCCCACAGTTTGGACTCATCCTATCTATGCCCCTGAAATATCCTGGAATTCTTTGTGAAATACATCAAGTTGTTGATAAAACAAACGGACTCTGGGTGCAATTGCCTGGCCACCATTTCACATAGTCCTATCGTGTCCTATCGAAGTTTCGTAACTTTCAGGAGGTCTTTCACACTGAAATCCATTGTCCATGATTTTCACCCCACCATCTTCTTGGGAATTTCTTTGGCAGCAGCCGGTAAAATACAAAAACAGGCGACGGAGATGGGCGTGTCTGCAAATGGGGTATACAATAGTATACAATACCGCATACCGTATACCCTGACCCCAATCTATGGCTATCAAAGTTTCGGAGTGTCATGATTCCCCGTGTCGCCAGCCCTTGGATCAAGGCGCCAAAGCGATATGAAGTCCAGCTTCACGTACCAGCTTGCAAATGTCACGATTGGCATAGCACCTTCGTGCTGGGCGCAGGAAAAGGGCACCACGCCACCCAATCAAAAGAGCCGCACGAATAGTAGTCGATTGAAAAATGCAAGCCAACATTCAAGCAAAGATTCTAGCATCACTGTTGACTCTACTGGTCCATCTGCAAAATTTGTTATGCTTACTATCTAAATCCCCCTGATTCCAGACCATTTTAGGACAGTTTTCCTTATATACTACTTACATGTGCTTGCCAGTGTGTGTAAACATCATACCAAAGTTATCTCAGTTCTATATCATATTACATAGTCATATATTCATATATATATATACATACATACATATGTGGTATCCATCATAGTATCCCAGCAAAGTAATGCAAAATGATGGGCTTTTGTCAGCTCCCTAAGTGGGTCCTGTACCCCGTGGCAAAGGAACCCATACTTCTCCACATGGCGATGGATGCCACGGTTCAGCATGCTCTGCACAAACTCCCTCGGTGGGGGATCTCATGGCACTTTGGGCCACTTGGGGATCAAAATAAATGGTTATATGTTAGTGATTTGTGAAACTACTAATTAATGGTTATTATGGTTGATATTTGGGGATCTAATGATAGTGATATTTTATGATATGTTTCTTTTGATAGATGGTACTGTACCCCCCAAGTAAAGATAATAAAGGAATCTATTAATCCTGGGTATTACTCATTCACCATTCCATCTGGCGGAAACGCCAACCACTTCTTGATGGCTTGATGCATGAAAAACCCACTGCAAGGCTGCAAGGCTGCCGAAATCTACACATTCAAATTGGAGAAGAAAGATGGTCTGGAAACACATCCCGGCATTACCAGTGAACGGTATCAACCAGTGCTGCTGTGTCTTGGGAGCATGCCACCCTCGATCCGTTTCTTTTCTTGTTGCTCTGAGCAGTCACATCTGAGATGGAAGAGTCTCATGCGGCGGTCACAATGACAAGACTCTCATTTTTGCCGGGAATGGATGCATAAATATTAATAAATAAAGTGCATCTTTGAAAATCATGATCTAGTCTACACATCTTGTTTTGTAGCTTTAAGAGCGACGCACAAAAACAGTTGGCTACAGATGGACGTATCATTAATTACTTATTATATCATATTATATCGTACTATTCATGCAGGATGTTCGCACTACGAAAGCAACTAGGGCAGTAGCCTTTCTTTACTGCAGAATAGATCTTGCGAGGTTTCCAAGAGACTGGGTAGGCTGTAGATTGCTAGCCTGACACGTCCCTAGAAGTTGGGTTCATATCGATCCACTTGTAAGACACTACAAGCTGGTTTGTCTGAAAATGAAATACCCCTAAATCATCCCAAATCCAATAGCTTATCACCATTTCAGTTATTAGAGATGGACAGTTTGAGGGTATACCATGGTATACCATGGTATACCATGGTATACCGTATACATCCGTATACCCCATTTTCAGACAGACCGCAGGAGCCATGTAGCGATTGAGACCGCAGCACAACCGGCCTTAAGTGCACTCCTTCCAGACCTGAGATCCCGCTGATCCTGAGATCCTGGGACCATGTTTCTCCAAACACTTTTTGGAGATGTCTTGAGCACTTGACCTTTCAACCTCCAAAAAGAAGTACGTATAATTAGTTTCCTCAGTTACAGCCATGTACTTCGAAATCCGGCTTGTTGAGGTCATCTATGAACACTCAGGTCTTCAGGGCGAAATTCTGCCACTTCAAACCCGCAAAACACGTGGCATCTCGAGGCCCGGCGGAATTTTTCTTCCCACCCGAGCAGTCGGCGGCGTCGGCAGCACGAAGAAACACGGAGGTCTCGCCGATGAACGAGATCTCCGCACTGTAGTGATCCCACATGTCAACAAACACAGCTTTTTACCATAAAAAATGTCCCCCTGTTGGATCCATCCCTGTTGATGAACGATTTACGCAGCAACCAAAGGATGAATTTTCCAACATGGACGCAAGCAGAATCCAACATGCACGTGGACGTTCTTTGCGTCCCAGCGAGCCACCTAAAAGCATTAGAATTGTCGGAAAACTGCTGGAGATATGCTTGGAACAGTTGTCACTTTGTAGACTCCATGCGTGGAAAAGTAGCAAACCACAATTTGTACGATTTAGATCAATTTATGTATATATATATATAGATATATAGATATGGATTTCAATATAGACTCCTAAGTATGGTGAATCCAACATGAGTTTCTTGACCCCATGGGCATAGCCATACAGCTCATCTCTGTGCTGTTTCCCAATAGCCCAATGCGTTGAAAATTTAGCGGCTTGCTGTGTAAATACCCCTCTTCCAAGGAGTCTGGGCAGTCTGGGGTGGAACTTTGCCACGCTGTTGACTGGAGAAGTGAAGGTCACTTCCAGCTGTTGATTTCGATGTTTGGCCAGTGAATCTTCAAAGATCTCCAATCTTGGAAGGCCAAAGGACTTTGAAACATACCACAGCATGCCACAGCCAGTTGGACCTGGAGGTCTTTCATGATCTTTCTACGGACCAACAAAGAAATCTGGCATTGGAAACTCCCCAATCTTCCATGAATTCCCTGCTGGATCCGTGCTGGATCCCAGCAGATCTGCCTCAGGCAGGTGCCAAAACATCCATGGGATATCATGGGAAAACACTGGATGCGTTATGTCTTTGGTATTTTCCTACATTGAGCTACACCCCCAACATCACTTAAAGGGTTCATGGGAAATGCACCACGGATGGATGGTTGGGGTCATGCTGAGTCCAAAAGCAGCTATCTGCTGGGAAACAACACAATCCTAGTACTCAGCGTACACGATGCCATCATGCCATATGTGCTGTACGTCCATGCCATGGCTTCTGTCAGGGAGTAACATATTTCAAGATATCGCAAGCAGTTTGACACCAGAAATAACTTAGAGTTACCCATAATCTCTTCCCACACGTATCAAATTCCCCCAGCGTGGCGCATGCAAAGAAACGGAAGTTTACCCAGTCCACCAGCATCCCGTTTTGGGAAGACCACCTGAACATACCTGAACCCTGGGCCTCATAGTTGACATCGGTAACAAAGACCTTTGCCTCGCGCTTTGACAGTGATCAGCAGTGAAGCTAATAAGCGAAGTGTAGATTTCAGCTAATTCAGCTGCAAAAACATACATAGAGTAATATGATGTAATTACCAGTAATATGATCTTGCCAGTAGGATGAGTCAGGTGCTTTCTGGATCTTGGACACTACAGAAAATCAAGGTACAACATGCAACAAAATGTAACAGGGACTGACAGTAACTGCCCGTGATAAGGGCACTGAAAAGGGTTGCATAAATCGATGCGTTCTCACTGGGTTGGTTTTCAGGGGTTGTGAATGTTCCCTTCAACCCTTCAACCAATTCTGGTATATGCAATAGTGATATATATATATATATTTATATATGTATATAACGTGCAGTGGGTAAAACAAGAATAAACCACCCCAAATCAGCATAATATAAGTAGGTGGTACAAACCATTCCCAGTCATGGGTGGTTTATGATCTATGACATTGTTTTACCCGGACCCACACTATATCGCAATCCCAGCAGATTCACCAGGGGGCCCCCAACCAGCCTGGATGAAAGCAGAACCCCCGCAGGCAGTGTCTGGTCGTCTGAATGCCGTAGTTCCGTCAATCCATAGCCACGGCTATGTATGTTTTCTTATACTGTTCAGTAAATTGACATAGATATAGAAAATCCATGTTTGCAGGGAACATATCTATGACTGGTGGATTTTCAGTATCTACAGCAACATTTGCCGGAGGCTACAACCATTCTTTTTCATTGGGCATATCCCATTCTCCCATGATATCCCAATTATATTCGATTATATAAATCATAATATATCCCAATATATATATATATACCATTATCCCATGAATTATCTCCGGTTATATCATTTCATATCATATTCCATCACATTATATCCCAAACATACCCCTTTAACTAAATCATAAGATCTCTCAATATATCTCATAACTGCCACAAATGCTACGTAGAAATGGTGCTTCCCCTGCCATCTCCAGCCTCGCACTGTTGCACCCTCTGAGTCCAGGGTCATCAGCCTACACAGGTGGTGTTGGAGGTCCAATAATTAAAGGACCGGATGACCCCACAAGTCAACTTCTTCCAAATTCCAGAAACAGTGGTTGAAGCGGTACCGAGAAAGCAGGAAAAACATGGAAAAACCTCAATCTAGTTGGATTTTACCCTTAAACAATGGTCAGTTCTGAATGGTATTGTATGTACAAGCCCGAAAAATCCCTAAAGTTTCATGCTACATATGATTGATCTCCAAGGCAAGACCCCCTATGGCCCTATGATTTGTCCAGTGCTCTTGGGCCTTGTCAACAGTTGGAATCTGAGGCTTTGACATAACCCTGCCACTGTGACCCCTGGCACTTGGAACAAATTGGTGATTGCAATCTACCTGCAGACAGACAAGCCAACTAGGAATCATCCGGTCTAGGGGAAGCTCACCAAAATCAGACATATTAAAGTCGCCAACGAGGTGCTTTCTTTAAGATTTTCAGGGTATACCGTATACCCCGTAATATAGAAACTAATATCAAACCAATCATGTTAGAACCATTCATACTCATCTCATAGCCTTCTTTACCGGCCAAGAATTGGTTACCAACACGTTCAGACAGAAACTGCTATGTTTGGGGTACCAATGGGCCATCTCTTGCCCAACCCCCCTTCCCCTGCCCAGGCCCTGTTGCTGGTAACGAGTCCACAGGCACCGCTTCCGGTGGCTCTGGCCGTGGCTCTGGCGGCTCCTGTGTAGTCCCATGTAACATATACATATAAGATGATCTAAGGTATCCCAAGCCTGGCCATGAACATATGATTACAATACATCCCAAAGTTGATTTGAAGTCATTCTTGATGGTAAAACATGTGCGGTGCCCGGCTCTGAGGTCGCTTGTACGTGATGCATGGCAAAGTTGAAGTGCAGTCTGCTGGATTCAAAATGGTCATAAAGAAGATCAGGGGACCTTGGCCAAGCATGGCCTACAGTTTTCAGGAGACTCTTGTACAGTTTTGGGATGAGTTTCATCCATTCTTCCATGGAATTTCGCTCAACTCCAGCTTGAGCTGTTGTGCTCCGGTGAACCAACATGGCGGGCTGGAAGAATCCCAATCAATCTGTTTGGATCATTTACTAGTCCCAGATCATCTATGCGATGCCCCAAATTTTCCTATATTTATAAACATATACACTACACATTCAAAAAAACTCCTCCATTATACATTTTCCCAACATCTTTCAATTTACAAATCCATATAGAAATCCCCCTACTTTCAAAAAATCCCAAAGTTGACCTAACCACCGTGGTTCGGTCGTGGCTCGGTCGCGGCTCGGTCACTCGGAAAAAACCGCTCTCCTTATTGGCCTTCGCCTCGCTCTTCTTGCCACTCTCCAAAAGGGTCGGCCTGGTGCGTCTGGGGGAAACCCCAACTTGGATAGGATGAGTTCACCAAGAAATTCCGGGAGAAAACATGGAAAAATAAACTAAACATAAATGCACATAGAACGGATCAATCAGTAGATGCGAGTGTTCGTCCTTTTTTTTTTGGGCTTTTATTGGGTATCATGGGAAATGTGGTCAATCCACTACCATAAACGAACCATTCGGGGATGATGATCGAACTAGCTGATTACCCCATCAAAATATCCCACTCCCATAACTATCCCTTTCTGATTTATGTCCCATAACTATCCCAATTTTTCTACTCGACGATGTCCCGCGCCGGAAATCGACGCCTCCGTGCACCTCCGGACAGCTCTTTGAGACACTCTCGGATGGCGTAGCCTCAATGCCGGGGGAACATTCTGGAGACCCCAAATTTGCTGAACAAATAAACATGTTATATATATGGGATTATATGGGTATGGATCAATACCTATTAATACCATTTTTAGTGGGATGAACATCCATTTACCAGCTATTTTGATGTTCACCAGGGGTACAAGGTTTTGACACACTGCCATATGATATAAAATGTTTCCCACCATGCAATCATATGGCTAATCTCAGAAATACATGGAAATAATCTGCAAAAAGATGCAACGAAAAGTCTTTAGTCCGGGGTCAAGTACTAGCCGGGGATCACATATTCCACCATCTTAGAATCTTCAGCAACCACTCAACGGATGAACCTGCCCAACCAAGGTTTACCTAGTCAATTGGGCGTTCAAGACAATCTTGTGACTTGTGACCCAATTTCTGACTTTTAAACAAATCAACAAGCTGGGATAATGCACACAAGTTTGGTGGAACTCGCTTAGCTTGGGGTGGCATTTGGTTTAAATCTCCCGACATTTTCAGGCCGAACAGTTTTGTGCGACTTACCAGAATGCACCGGCAGAGCACAACCCCTCAACCCACCCAAAAATGGCAGATTTACGTTGTTGCCGCATGTTGGAATGATTCAAACCACTCCAAACTTTTAGAATGATTTGTCATGAGGCCCCCTTGCGGCTCCCTACCAAACTCGCCTTGCCCACAGGAGAAGAGCAGGGCCGCACGAAAGGCAATCTGCGCAATTCGTGGCATGTTGGCTGTCCCGAGCAAGTCATCCCCTTCCCTTTGTTGGTGATATCCTAATGTTTACCTGTGAAAAGTCCCTTATCTTCGGATCTGCGGGCTTTGAACCCCCTTTCGATTCGGAGCACCCAAGAGTTCTAGGTCCTTTTAAGGTAGAGGTTTTAGGTCCATAATAGTTAAACCATCTTAAACCGAAAACCATCGGTCGCACTTCCCAAATGACTTTGCCTCGTCGCGATCCCAGCGTCGCAAACGCTGGATAAGGCGTGGGTCGATCGCTGAAAGGCCTTGGGGATCCCCATTTAGCGACTGGTTCAGGGCGGTTCACAAGTTGAAAGCTGCAGGATGGGACCCCCGTTGGATAGCGTTCAGTTGCCTTACAAGCGGTTTAAGTATGGTTTATGGTAGATATAACATGATATAACTATAGTTAATGGGGTTTATAATGTTTAATGTTTAATGGTTTATAAACCAACTTATAACTGGGGTCACCATCCTGTACTAATACTGGTAACGCTAGTCGATCCACAGTTCTTGCATTAGATCAACTGGGTGCTTTTCTCAGACAACCTGGAGGTGCAAAAACTCCTCTTCTCCAAGTTATATCCAGAATAGCCATCTGGATTGGGGCAAACACCACAATCGTGGACCATGGACCCCTCTTACTTTTATATTTTGATTGGTACCGGAATCTATCCCCATAAAGTATCCTCTGGTTATTTAACATGTTCTATGGAAAATGGCGCATTTATAGATGATAAACATGATGATTTACCTAAGAAAAGTTGTGATTTTCCATAGCAAACTGTTGCCATTGCCCAGCGGATGTCGGAACTCAGAACCATACGTCGCGCCATCTGAGTTGTCCCACCATAGAATGCCCCAGCCATCTGGCCACAAATCGCCCCTGCCATGGCTCAGTGTTTCTGCCAACAAAGAAACTTTTTGTCGAAAAAAACTGAAATCAACATACAGAAACCTACCAGCTTTGGATGGCTAAAACGTGTTAAACATTAAAAACTGCGCCTGTGGAGTCAGCGTCGCCCAGAAAATTCACACAACATGTCATGGCCTGGCGGCGAATTGGTTCTGCAAGGTGAAGGAAGTGCCTGATGTTTTATGGAGATCAGTCGTATTATAATTCGACAAAGAACTTTGATAGATCAAAATACATACATATATATATATATAAAGATTCGGCCAACTTCTTTTCTCAGCACAGCAAGGACTTGTTTGTCAAAAATATAAAAAGATCAGAACACATGCCCCCATAAAAAAATCATTGTTAAGAAACTTCCGTAGGGGATCCCCCCAATTTCGTCCGCCAAGCCAGGAGCGAAATCAGGTCTCGAGACCCCCTGGGGTACCCCCCCCGCTACTTCCGCCATGCCGGAAATAGAGGAGGACTCGAGTACCACACATTTCGGGCTCTCTGCCCTATCTGACTCCCCTTCAATTGCACAAAAATGCGTTTTTGGACCACACCTTCTTCTGGGTGGTTTGGGGGCGGGCGCTGAAGCCGAGACTGCGGAAAATACATTAGCCTCATCTTTATTTCCGGGGGCGTACAAACAAAGATTCGGCCAACTTCTTTTCTCAGCACAGCAAGGACTTGTTTGTCAAAAATATAAAAAGATCAGAACACATGCCCCCATAAAAAAATCATTGTTAAGAAACTTCCGTAGGGGATCCCCCCAATTTCGTCCGCCAAGCCAGGAGCGAAATCAGGTCTCGAGACCCCCTGGGGTACCCCCCCCGCTACTTCCGCCATGCCGGAAATAGAGGAGGACTCGAGTACCACACATTTCGGGCTCTCTGCCCTATCTGACTCCCCTTCAATTGCACAAAAATGCGTTTTTGGACCACACCTTCTTCTGGTCTTTCCACGTCCCCCTGAACTACTCGCTTTGCGAGTGCGCTCAAGGGTCGGCAAAGGTTGTGAGATTGATTTGCGGTATATACTTTGAAAACCACGCAGTTTTTTGACGGGAACGTTCATTTCGGCTAGAGTGGCCAAACCGGAGTTGATGTAAATACGGGCCGTCTTTGGGGCCTGCCATCTTCCCTGAACAAGTAACCGGTCAAATGACCCATGTTTACCAAACCAAAACGTCGCTCCTCCACGCCGGAGCGAATACGGTCTGAATTGAAAAGAGTCAAGATTAAGAGCCGTCAGGTACTCAGAGAATTTAGTTCTCCAAGTTTGGGCTGGTCCTACCAAAATTAAATCAGAAGACTGCTTCCATTGCCTCAAGCGGCGAACCACCTCTTGAACGGTAATGGTCACACTTTCAGCAGCTCCTTGCCTTTTGGCAGTTTTAGTCATTCCTAAAGAAATTATTGCAGGCCCATCATCCGAAGGCGCTTCAACCTGCTGTGGCTTAAGCCCCAAAATTTCTCCGGATCTCAACATACCATAAAAACCCAACAGCAATGACAGTGCGAAACGCGAGTCGTCGAGTAGCAGTGCTCTTCCTACCAGTGCATGCAGGACAGTCTCTGGAATGGGCGGTGCCCGATTGGGGATCTCATTTTGATTCCAAACTTTGAGAAGTCGCCATGACCCAACTAATGACCCTTTCAGATGAGGATCAAGATTTTGAAGGCCTGCCAAAGTATCGGAGGCTAAAGCCCTCCCTTCCCCCGATGACCACAAATGTTCAACATATTCCGACACCAGATCGTCAAGGGCCAGCTTCTTCTTTGGCAAGGTTATTCCTTCAAACTTGAGAAAATCCAAAAATTTGCTAAGAGCTGCTTCATAACGCTTTTTGGTAGCTGGCTGCACAGCCAGTGACCTCAAACTACCCAGTTGCTTCCGTTGTGTAACGCGTTCCTCCCTTGAGCGGCCTTCAACTACCTGCCTCTTTTTGCCCATAGCTTCAACACTGGCCGGCGCGATGGCCGGTCCGCAGGATTCTGCTTAGGTGCGACGTAACCCCAAATGGGGTAAACGTCAGCCGCTAGGAGGAGCGCGTTAATTTTGGATAGCACTGGGCGAAGTTTTCTGGAACTGGATCTTCCCCTGGTAAGGGCGTGCAGAGTGACTAGAGAATCCGTCAAATGCAGAAGCCTACAATGATGCTGTCGCTTCCTACCCACACGCCACTGCAGGCACGTTAACACTGCTTGCATCTCCAAAACATTGAAGTGGTAACCCTGCCGCTTCCATGGCCACCCGCAGACAGTGCGCCACTTCCACAACTTACTAGGCACCGAGGCTCTCAAGCGGTGAAATCGAACACAGTTCTCACTTTCAGCCTGTAGGAGAAGATCCTCTCCCTTGACAGACACAAATTGTAGCAGTTTCTTAGTCAATTGAGTCTCCGGGGCTTCTCTGTTCTGCTTACGGAGAGGGTTTAGAGGGGGTCTTCGAAGAAACCCTTGCAACCCCTTGTCTTGACCTGGACTAGCCGCCTTTACCACCTCATCTAAACTCCCATAGGGCGTCAACCCGAGAGGGTGACAAAGCTGTGACAGCAGCCACGCTATCACAGGTACATGCCAGGAGTTGCCGACAAGGCTGTGTCGGCTGTCCAGGTAACTCTCTCCCTTCTGCTGGCCCTTAGGGACACACGCTCCAGTGTACCCCACAGGGAAACCCATGGCCACTTCCTTCTCTGCGATGCTGGGCAGGCGTCGTTCTCCTTGCTGATTTACTAGAAGATGTTTGTCACGGTAGACATATGGAGGGTACCTGTGCTTGTCTGCAACCCACCTGTCTCGCTCCCAAGGTTCACATTGCCAGAGCCCCGCAGGGCGATTCCCCGGCGATGATCTAGGCCGGGATGTGGTGAAAGTGGGCAACAGGACATCCGCATCCAGGGACCACCCCGTTTGCAAATACTGCGCCTTGTCCACCTGGAATTCTAGCTTAACCTCAAAGTATTGTTCCACCCCTTCCCCGTGGGGGACCAGAGTAACCACCGGAGATTCTTGAATCTCCCATGAAAGCCAATAGAGGCGGGGGCGTCGACAGATAGCAATGTCCGCGGCATCCACCAGATAGGGTTGTACTCCCATATGTGCACTCATAGTGGCCCGGTCTTGTGCATCCATGGAGAAGACGGATTCCATCATGTACTGAACCTGGGCCCATTTAAAACGGGCCTTGCAGAGTTCGTATACCCGCTTCACGTGCACAAACAAACTGCTGCGGGCGTCCTTCAACGCCCCTTTTCTATCCGCATTGAGTCCGGATACTCCTTGACATGGTGGTCCTCCACCCACTACCACCAGCCCCACATTGCTATACCGGACCGCCCACGAGAGCACCATATCATCATTGATGTTGTTCACATCACCGATTTGCTCAGAGTCTGGAAAGTTGCTTTCAAGAACTCTGCAACCTTCTTTTGATACCTCCGAGCTCACATGTCCCGCCATCGGAAGCTTGAGCACGTCAGCCCCAACCCTAAGGGCCCCAATCCCATCAAACAGTCCAATGGTCAGGACTTGGATGTGATCCTCAATCTCAGGGAGATCTCCCCTTACATGGCACCCCGCTGCATGCACTCCCATAGGTGTAAGGCCTTTTGACACACAAAAGCCACCACCCCATTCAGAGGCGTCACTGCATGTGACTTCTCCTCTTACCGGAGTACGCAGGTTCATCTGTGCCAGCGGCACTGCCAACATGAAGCGCAGCATCTCGTATTGCACCAGCCCTGGCAAAGGCTTCTTAACCACTGGGGGTTCATTCTCAAAGGACATGATGAACTTCCAAACCTGGTTCAGCATTCCCAGCAGTGGCCTACGGAACATGCAGCAATACACAAAGCCCCCACATACAACTTGTAGCTGCTTTTGGGATCCCTTTCCTGATTGCAGCAACTGCCACGCCAGGTCCACATACTTCAGGACCTTCTGAACCTTGGGTTCGACCATGCCTGTCACCCCGTTGACAACGGCCCCTTGAATCTCTGCAACCGTCTCCTGCTGGACCGACTTCTTTGGGTGCCGAGGTAACCCAAACTCAGTGTACCCCTGCCGCAAAGCAAGAGCCTCAACTGAGGGCTCGCCCTTGATCAACGAGGCCAACTTGCGATCACACCGTTCTAAGGCATCAAAATTGTCCAGATAAACCCTATAAAGCCAGGCCGCACTGCTCCCTGGTTTGTCCCGCCTGAGCTCACATTGTCCCCCATGCGTTGGTCCAATCCCATGAAGATAAAGCCTAGCCAGCCTGCGATGTATGTGCTGCGCAATGGCCACTGAGCTTATGAACCCCATGGGTAGTACTCGTGCCGCCAAATAATACGGCTCTTGCGCCCCTGCCGGCGCAACGGAGGTTGGAACCTCCCGTGCAAAGGTCATAAACTTGTGCCAACCAGGGGGTACTGAAAACAAATAGAATAAACATCTAATGTCTTCAGAACTCATGACCAGGACATCGTCCTCCCCCAACACAACGCTAGACAAACCTGTAACAGAGGGCAACGTGGAGATATCCCCACCCAGGTTTCTGCACAACTTGTTGGTGGGCACCAAGTTCATGATCAAACGACACACCTCAACACCGTCCGGCGTGAATTCATCTTTGCTAACCGAAAAAAGCCCGTTTAGAAGTGGTCCTTCCGAGAAATGGTAAACCTCAGACAATGGGATGAGCCGACAAACTCCCTTGGATAGGAGACCGGAGCAAACCTGCTCCCATGATTCGGGTTCAACAAAAATTCGTGGAGGTTTTGTGTAAACCCTGGATTCCAACGGAAGTAAATATCGCTCAAAATCATTGACAAAGTCAAGCACTCCTCCCTCACACACTTCACTTAGGGGGATGGACCCTACTCCATCAGGAAGAGCAGGTTCAATGTTAGCCCATGTAAACCTTTTTGCCACCCTGACTTCTTCCCCTTTGTAGTCTACTGATCTAACCGCCAAAAACTGTTCCCAACTCAACCCTTCTAGTTTTTCACTGCTCAAGCCAGAGGTCAACGCATAGCCGCTCAATGTTCTAAGAGCTGCCTGGGCCGCCAAACTTCGTTGGCATCCATCTACCCTAGCTGCCCCAGCGTAAGAGTTGAGGGCCACGCACATGCCTACCAAGACCCTGGGGTCTATTGTGGAGAATTGGCCTAGCAGTTCATACAAACCCTGACGGGTTTCAGGTAAAGGAAAAATTCCACCTGAGGTCTTGTCCTTGCTGCACCGCAAACCAAGTGAAACTTCAAGTTCAACAAATTTAGTCAGCATTATTTCTGCCAACTCCCCATAGCTCATGCCTCCTGTGGTGAAACCCGCATCCACAGCGCCTAGTCCGGTCGGACCTGGCTCCATGGTCGCGCCGCTGTAGATCGCCGCAGGCCCTGGCACCCTCACAGCCCCAAAGCCTTCAGCTTCAACCTCCTGGCGAAGAAATTCCTCGCTCTCTGCAACCTTCTCGGAGTCTGCCAACTCCCAGCTTCTCTTCAGCTTCACTTCTTCCCTTTCTCTTTCTCCTCTCGCTGCCCCTGATGATCGCCTTTTGTCTTGCCCTTGCCTTTTGTATCCTTGGTCTTGCCTTTGCCCTTGTTCTCCTCTGGTCTCCTTTCCCACTCTGCTCTGCGCTCCCAAGGTCTGGCTGCTGCTGTCCGGGACCGCTGCTCCTCCCTCTGTAGCCTTGCTGCTTCCAGGGCTTCCGTGGGCGACGTCATCATCGCGGTGTCCACTGGTACAAGCTCCTGCCTCTGGCTGACCAGATAATGGCTGCCTGCAGTCACTTGTTCCAGACCCTTTAATCTCTGGGTCAACACATCGCATGCTGCCGCCACCCGCCCTTGGATCAAAAGATCCTGGGCAAAGCAGAGCGTTTGTGCTTCTCTGCTCATGGCACCTCCCATCTTGTTTGACAAGGCCTGTCTCCAATATTGGGAGAAAATTGGAGGTAGGCTGGATCGATCCAGCTGCCACGGCTGCCCAGTCTGACTGACCACAGCCGCCTGGATGAACTCCAGGGTGTTGAGGGTCAACGCCCCCGGGAAGCGTTTCCATACCATCTTTACTCGAACTTCCTCCCCGAAGAGTTGAGCTCCTTCTCCAAGGGAACTCCCACTGTCGCTGGAGCTCCCTGGAGACCCGGAGGAAGTCGAGTCCTGCTTCTTGCTTCTTTTCTTTGCTGCACGCCTGGCTCTCTTGCGGATTGTTTTCCTCACCTCCGGCTTGGGATCCAGGGCAGTTGCCCCGAACACACTCCCCAACTCCTTGGTTCCTGAGATCTTCACCCTGCCTCTCTCTGCTCTCCTCTTCTTTTTCTTCTTCTTTCTCTTCCCTGCTGCCTCTGACTCTGAACTGATCTCCTCTTCTTCTCCGGCCCCTGGGGGCCTCTGACCTTCCTCGGGTCTGCCGCCTCTTCGCTCGTCTGCCTTCTCTCGGACCTTCTGGAGCTCGTCCTCCTCCTCCGCACCCGGTCTCCTCATCTCTATAAGGTTCTCCATCCAAGCCTCTTTGTTGTCTCCTGTGCGCAACTTGAACCGGTTCCCATGAACTAGCCCTTCTCTGGCCATCTTTGGACAGTCTGGGTGGCACACATGCACCTCCAGGTACTTCATGGGGTTCAGCCCAGCCCACTTGACCAGGCTCTCCGCTTGGCTTCCCTCCACCTGAATCCTCAAATAGAGCTGGCCACCTTCCTCCAGGACCGCCTTGATAATGCCAGCCACGGTAACCGGTTCCTCCCAATAGGTAGCCCTGGTGGCCACAATGCGCTCCCCAGTTTTCCATAGTTGCCTGGGTACTGCTTTTCCTTCAACTTCCAGGCCCTTCTGAAAGTTCCCGGAGACACTCTCGTCTCCCAGACCTTCTCCTCTCGCCTCTGCTCCTCGCCTTCGCCCGCTCCTCACCCGGGCTTTTGCCTTGGCACCTGCTTTGGCCTTTGCCTTGGGTGCACCTTTGGGGGCAGCCCTAGCCTTAGCTGCTCCCCTTCTCCTCACTCCCAATCGGCCTACCGCAGCCGCTGGTCTAGCTAATGCCTTAGGGGGCATTAGGCGCGGTATCCTCTCTTCTTATTCTTCCTCCAGGCCTTGAACTCGTTGAACAATGCCTGCTGCCTTCGTTTCTTCTTTCCCTTATTCTCTGCGTCTGGATGCTTTGGATATGGATCCCACTGCGTCCTCGTCTGATGGGACGGGATCGGCCCTTGCCACCGCCTCTCAGGTGGTCTAGGGGGTGGTGGTCCAGGAGGGCTCCTAGGCCTCACCGGACTTCTCCTCCCTTCAGCCTCTCTCCTCCTTGGACTTGACGCCTTTCTCCTCTCTAAAGGGGTTAGTGACCTCCCCCTCTTGCGTTCCCTAGCGCCCTCTGCTGTTTCACTACCCTCGTGATGCTCTCTTCTATCCTCCTCTGAACCTTCTCTTCTCCGGCGGCTCCTACTCCTTCTTGGGCTTCTGCTTCGTCTCTTGTTTTTCTTAGGCTCCTGACTTCGTGGGCTACGCTCTTTTCTCTCCTCACCTCTTACCTTTTTCTTTTTCTTGTGCTCCTTCTCCTTCTTGGCGATCGGCTCCTCCTCGACGATGTCTACTTCCTCCTTGACCCCCTCAGGCTTGCTTCCTGAAGCTTCGCCTTTAGGAGGAATTCCTCCCTTCACAGGCGGCTTGGACTTTGGAGTGGTTGAAAGGATGTCCTCACGGGCCTGGGGCCCCGCTCCTTTGTCCAATTCCGGAGGTGCTACACCTCCCAAAGCCAGCTGCTGATTGAGGTTGGCAGCTACCTCTTTCAGCTTGAAGCAGAGCGCACGGAGCTCTACCTCTGCGAATACTACCCCTTCTGGCGGGTAGTGGGCCGACAGCAGGATCTCCTTTATCTTAAAGAGAGTCCCGCAGGTGCCACACCTCAGCTCAGCCACTGGCCGTCCGAACTTTCCCTGGCAGTCCAGACAACGGAGACCTTGATCTCCCATACAACCCCTACTTAACGCTGAAGCCGAGACTTGAGCCAAAATGGCGATCAAAATACATACATATATATATATATATGAAGTCATACTATGATAATTATATATATATAAATCCCTGATGTTGAAGGACATGTTCCATGTTTGATGAAACCCACTTTCAGATATCTATTTATACAGACATTGATGAGGAAAAGCAAGTGAGGACACATCATTGAAACAGTTAGTTGGTAGTTTTTAACCCTTGAAACAATTGGTTGTTAGGCGGAATCTTAATTCCAGGTGGGATTTGGGATCTACAAATATGGTCGATATGTTCGAAACCACCACCTAAATAGACACTGGCAACAAGTGTATATATCACTATGTCATAATGTAAGACTCCAGCTTGAAATTATGTTTCTATGTGCATGTGTAAATCTTCTGATTGCCGGTTCTGACCCCATCTCGAACATGTGCGAGTAGCTGGGGTAATCCATAGAACAGAAACGAAGGAGGAAAAAACAGCCCAAACCCACAATATAATACGTATGGGTCCAAATTGGGTACCCCAATAATTGGATGGTTAATGCATGTTAATGCTAAACATAAACTAAAATCTGTAGTCCCCCAGGTCTTTGATTTTGATCCATACCCCATATTCCGAATTTTACCCAAGTGGTGTTGGTCAAACCCCCCCTATGTTGTGTTGAGCCCACGTGCCCAGCCTCCATGAAAGAAGTCGTGTGATAGAAACTGTGCATGGCCATAGCCAAACCTGGGGATCAGGGGTACCTGGTGAACCTTGGGCAATTCCTTGGGGGTTCATCCATTAATCATCATGAAGCCCTACATAGCCCCATACCAACCTCTATCCAGGGCGAAATTGTGAAAAACACAATTTCTTCGAGTGATTCCCACCAACTGACATTCTATCTGATATATATTCTGACATTACATCTGACGTCTGATCTGGCAGATATTCTGGCATTATCTGACATTCTCTGTGGCATGTGCGTGCTCAGCTGCATCCCGATGCTCGCGATAGGGTTCGGGTCCATGCGTGCTCAGGCTGAACTAGATTTTGCCATGAGCTGCTGGCCGTTGCTGTTAGCTCTGGCTCCATTGGTGCCCACAGCCACGACGAGTCGGCAAAGGAGGAGGAGGCGGAGGAGAGCTGCTTGTTGAAATCTAGAGACCCTTACCTGGCAGGGGAAAAAGTGAAAGTACATAGTCCGGAGGTTTTGAACTTAAAGCATTCTATTGGGGCCAGAGGGGCTCAAAACCACAACAGCCCTGAAGTCTGATTGAATATCAGCCTTCGTAAGGCTCAAATTCAATTTGGAATGGTGAAGATTTGGTTGGACATGTTCAAGTGTGTCAGACTGATGAGCAAAGCCAAGGACAAATCTAAACAGGACAGGTTTGCCACGGACTTTGGTCGCTCTTGTCTTTGGATATCGAGCGTTTGGGGCTGTGTCAGTCGTGTCATGTTTTTTCCTCGCTCTAGTTGTGCATGGTGAAGAAATTTGTTAAAATTGATGCCACAACTTTTTTGATGCTGGGTGGGGGTGGTGGTTTGGAAAGGTATGTCATGAGGTGGGGGGCTTTGGAGGGTCTCTCATGGTATGGCATTCATGGGCTACATGGTTTGTCATGTCCAGTTATGTTGGGGATTGCCATGTCATGGCATGCATGGAATACATGTCGGGGGCTTGTCATGTCATGGCATGACATGGCATGCATAGAATACATGTCGGGGGCTTGTCATGTTAGGGCATGGCATGGCATGCATGGAATACATGTCGGGGGCTTGTCATGTCATGGCATGCCATGGAATACATGTCGGGGGCTTGTCATGTCATGGCATGCCATGGAATACATGTCGGGGGCTTGTCATGTTATAGGGCATGGCATAGCACGCATGGATTACATGTCGGGGATTGCCATGTCATGGCATGCATGGAATACATGTCGGGGATTGTCATGTCGCCATGCATCTACGTTGCCATGCCATGTCCAGTGGTTCAAAAGCTGAGCCGTGCAGCCAAACACTTCAGAACTTTGGCCGGATTAGTGCTCCTGACCTGTTTATGTTTGCCGAAGAAGCCGTGTGGGCACCGCAATGATGTTGTACTGTAATCCTGCTGCGACCCCGCCACGCCATTCGGCTCAACAGGCCCAACAGGCTTTTATGCAATCTTGGGTTGATGTGTTGATTCTAACAATTCTCAGAGTCTCAGGGATCATAAAATGATGAAAAACAGGAAAGTACTTGTCACTGATTTGTGACTGTTCATCTTTGTTTCACTGTTGGCCGTGCACGTTGACTAAGAGCAAAGTTCTCTCACGTCTTCGATGGCGGCTGGTTCCACTGGGGCTATCTACGGGAATATCCAACTCATTGCATGCGGTCGCAAGTTTGAGTACCGTGGATTTCAGGGACCGTAGCTTGATTTGCAATTGCCATTGACTAATGACCTGACATGACCATGTCACATGAACTGTAACAGTGTAGCATGACCTGTCACATGAGCTGTCACATGACCTGTAGCATGGACTCTTGTTCGGCAAGTATTGACGGGATGTGACAGTGCGTATGGTCACTGAGGGGGGACTCAACTGACGGTGCCTTGGTGCTCAACTTCCAAACGGGGTGGGGGCGAACTTACTTCTTTTTGGGTGGCGTTGTGCCATGGTTGCTTGTTTTTGCATGTGCTAGGATTTGCTGTGTGATGATCTGATATCTAGGTTGGGCACCGCAATCATGTGCATGACTTTGGGGCCAATACACACGGTCATGTCATTTTCATTGGAGCGCCTGAGGCTTCCGCAGAGAACTTGTACCTCCAAGAACTTCACCCCAGGATTTTATCATCATGGAAGTATATGCGGACACTCTCTTCCCTCATCGTATCCTGAAATGACAGTTGGGTTTGACATGATGACATGGCATGGTTTGACATGATGACATGGCATGGTTTGACATGATGACATGGCATGGCATGGCACGGTTTGACACAATGATATGACTTGCCATGAGTTGTTAGGATGACATGACATGACATCAGGTGGCATGAGCATAAGTGGCATGCATGACATGCATGACACAACATGCCTTAGCACGACCATGGTCAGTACTGATTTGCTGGCCATTGAATCCTGAGACTTCCTCGCGAAGACAAGCGAGAAGAACACTGGCTTGGATGACTTCGTTCAAAACAAGCTGATGGAAGACTATCCTGAGGTGGTGAAGTGGGCGAAGAATGTGGCCAAAACCGTATTGCCCCTTGACGGCAGGCAAACCCAGAAATATATATTTGTTTGGGATCTATGGGTCTTCAAGGTCTTATAACACTGGTGAAGCCCGTTATAGTTTAAGGTCCATGGCGTTTGCTTCTGGCAGGAAGGTGAAGCTCATTATCTGGTGCATGGTTGGGGTTGTCACCGAAGTGTTGCCTTGGTGTGCCACTTGTTCTCAAGCTTGGCATGTTTGACATACACGTGACTTGCAAAGACATGGCAAAACATGGCATTGCATTTGATGGCATGACATGGCATTTGATGGCATGACATGGCATTTGATGGCATGACATGGCATTTGATGGCATTTGATGGCATGACATGGCATTTGATGGCATGACATGGCATTTGATGGCATGACTTGGGATGTGCTGGCATGACATGGCGCCTAAATTGAAATGGCATTATGGGGGCATGATGGGGGCATGAAAGACGTGTGACATGGCATGTGACACCACGGCTGGACATGGCTGGCATAGTTTGACATGGCATGTCCATTGCAGTGATGGTACTGACCATCAATGCTCCGAGGTGCTATCTTTGGATACATCAGCCATTTTACTCAGGACGTTGAGGTGTACTTTCCGAGTTTGGGCCAGAATCAGCGCAAAGGACTGTGGTACCGAGCCTTCGTCGGATATTTTTTGGCATGCATTTCAATTTAACATACTAGGCCTGTGATTGTTGTGGCAATCTTTAAAAAGCATGGACGACAACATTAGCTGATGATAACCTTTTGAGTTTTCATGTTCCTTTTGGCACGCCATGGCATGAAATGGTAGTTCTTGATTTGTTGTTGAATCTTGGAAGTGGTCATGCTGGGTCATCATGAGAATCTTGAAGTGCTCATGTGTTTTTGACACGTCCATGATGAGTCATGGCATGCCTTGTCATGAAGGTGGGTTTGAATGTAAGGATCCTGTCTCACTCATGGGCCATCCGCTGTTGAGGTTGGGAGTCAAGCATGCGTGGACCTTTGCTTGAGTTGTGCCTGCAGAAGGCGCAGGCAACGCCGAGTTCGGGATCTGAATCTCTCCCTGAGTCTTCCGCTCCGGCAATTCCTGCTCCTCCAGCTGTTCCTCCAGCTGTTCCTACGTCTACCCCTGTTCCTACGTCTACCCCTTTGCCTTCGTCTACCCCTGTGCCTTCGTCTACCCCTGTTCCTTCGTCGACTGGGATTTCGCTTGGTGGTGCGGATGTTCCTCCTTTGACTGTTTTGCCTCCACCGCCAGCTCACAAGTTTCCGTTTCCGCCGGAGCCACCTGTGACAGCGGAACCACCTGTGACAGCTCCCATGGTTCCTCCGGTGCCACCACCTGCGGTGGTTCACAAGGTTCCGGGAGCACCTGTGGCGGCTGCTAAAGTGTTTCAAGGGATGATCAATCCACCACCCAGCGCACGACGCCCTCTGACAGAATGGCCGGCACACATACTCCGACCACCACCACCGAAATCGGAGGGGGGGGGACGGGATCGGCCCGGGCCGTACTGAGTTTGAACTAAGGGGTCGGTTGTTAAATCCTCAAAGTGCCATGCTTTTTGTGAGGGTGTAATTTGACCTACCAGCAGTGTCCAGCCACTCCCATTAAATCTGAATTCAAACTCCGGATACGAGCCTTTTTGCGAACTGTCAGGTTTGCCGATGTGCTGATGAGATGAAGCACATGTCATATGTATTTTGTTGGTGCATGCCATGCAAGATGAAGATCGACTTTGAGATGCCACGTGAAAAGGGATTGCTACAAATGTGCAGGGGTAGGCATGACATGTCATGGCATGGTGTGGCATGACATGTCATGGAAACATGTGGCATGGCATGGTAGGAAATGATTTCTTGTTCCATCCAATGCACTTAAACAGAAAAACACGTCGGGTTTGACTGTTATAGTGCTCAGATTGAATGTTTTTTGGCGTTCTGCCATGCATGACATGTCATGGCATGGTGTGGCATGGCATGGTAGGAGATGATTTATCGTTCCATCCAATGCACTTAACCGAAAAACATGTCGGGTTTGACTGTTAGTGCTCAGATTGAATGTTTTTTGGTGTTCTGCCGTGCCGTCGGCCAGGTCTGGAAAAGCATTGTAGCCCTGGCATGTTTCTACAGTTAGCCTGTCATGTGTTTCATCATAAGCCATGAATGTGACCTCAGTGTAGCACATGAGAAGAAATGGTTGGCTGCTTCTGGATGCCATGCATGCGATGCAAACACCGATTCCTGGTTCATCCTGGTTCTCATTTGCTGATGTGGCAGTACTTTAAAATGGGCGTTCCACAAATGTCAGGTGCTAGTGCTGCTCACTTTGAGGCCTCGTTTTCATGTGTTGAAGCATGATTCACAAACAAAATCAGTCCACGCATAATCCATGCTAGGCTATTATCATGAACTGCTCCTAAAGCAATTTGAACCTCAAGTTTGTTTGAAAATACAGGATGCCAATCATAGGCCATGCGAACCTTTATTTTATTGACATCAACAGCTGACTGACAAGTTGCAAGCTGTGATTGGCTTCATGAGTTTTAAAATGACTTCTACGGGGCTCCATGCCACATTTGCTGAATCATGAGTGACATATACGTAAACTTGCGCAGCAATGCGCAGCAGTAGTCAGCCTTTTGCGTTCCCCATTACATCCGGAGGCCAAAACCATTGAAACTCTGCGAGAGGCCTGGCAGGACTTGGCATGACATGACGTGTGCGACATGGGATGACATAGCATGGAGTGGCATGGCATGGCATGGTTGACATGGCTTCCATGAATGACATGGAATCTCATGGCATGGCATAACATGAGTGACATAGCATGGAGTGGCATGGCATGGCATGGTTGACATGGCTTTCATGAATGACATGGAATCTCATGGCATGGCATAACATGAGTGACATAGCATGGAGTGGCATGGCATGGTATGGCATGACATGGTTTGACTGAATGACATGGAATCTCATGGCATGGCATGACATGAGTGACATAGCATGGAGTGGCATGGCATGGCATGGTTGACATGGTTTGACTGAATGACATGGAATGACATGGCATGGCATGACATGAGCGGCATGGCATGGAGTGGCATGGCATGGCACGGCATGGCATGGCATGACATCCTGCGGCATGGAATGACATGGTATGGCATGACACGGTGTGGCATGAAATGTCATGATTCATGATTTTCACTGGTTGTTTCTGTTTGTAGCTGTGCCCAAAACTTAGGTTTGATACGCTTTCAATAATCGCCACAGACGATCCATGAAGCGTCCAGCTAGTGTCATGGACAATGATGTCGGCTACCTCTCTGACGAGACGTTGGAGTTGCCAGGCACGAGAGACATGTCGGCTACCTTCAAAGGGTTGAATGTCAGGCCGCCATTTGCACAATGGCTGGTGGAGGGATTCAAGACCATGGAAGTGAGGAAGTACAATCTTGGAACCCATGGCATGGCCCCATGCATGTGGGTAGTCAAGACAAAGGCCAGTGCCAATGACATCACTCTCGTTGTCGGCATTGTCCAGTTCGATGAGTCAAAGGTGGTGGAGTACACGAACAGGGAGCAGTTTCAGCAGGATTGGGGAAAGCACAGGATTCCTGATTTGAAGTTCGGGATTGGCTGTGATTGGAACTTTGAGAAGCCATTGTATGGCTGGCCCGTCAAGAAGTACGTCAAGCTCGTGAATGAAATCGTGGTCGATGGAAGGTTTCCAACAAGGTCAATGCTGGGATGGATCAAGGACCCAGTGACTCTGGACATCACGGTCCATCATGATGAGGTTGAGGAGGTGAACGAGATGATGGAGCGTTGAAGTGAGAGAGCCCCTTTGCCATAGCTTGAACAAATAGAAGGGGGCTGCACAGGTAGATAATCCCATTCAGGCTCATGTTTCAAAATTTCAAACGGCTCCTTCTATCATGATTTCTAGGATTGCGCAAGATCATGTAGTGCCGGTAGATAAACGATGAAGTGAACCCGGACCGCCATGCCTTAAAAAAAAAGGCTTGACATAATGACACGATGAGCCGGTATGTCATGTCTGACTCATGTTTGACATTGCATGACACTTGGATGCTATAGGCATAGAATGACTCTGGAATGATATTTCAACATTCAGATATCTACGATGAACAACTTATCAAGCATGACATGCCAGCAACATGCTAACAAGCCTGTGCCAGGTGAAAGCAAGTTGCCTTTGAGTTCCTGTGCTCAGATTGGCAGGGTTTATGCGCTGTCACCTTTTGAAAAAAAAACATACAACCAGCAATAGCCATGAACAACCAACATTGGTGACCGCTGAAACTCATCTTTATGACACTCACGCATGGGCGATGTATAGGCTTTTTGCTAGCCACAGGTTGTGTGACTGAGGATACACCACAGATTTAGGTGCTTCCCACCCACCTTGCCTTTGTGATTTACAGTACTTGTCATGTGTTGACACGCAGACCTTGACATGGCATTGCTGGCAATTGGCATAATTGCTGTCATGCTAGAAGGTAGCAGTGCTGTTGTGTTGTCATGTTGCCATGCTGTCACAGCATCGTTGGCTGTCATGTTATCATGTTGCCATCTTGTCATGTCATGTTGGACTTGTCATGTTGCCATCTTGTCATGTTATCATGTTGCCATCTTGTCATGTCATGTCATGTTGCCATCATGGTGCCATGCCAACTTATAATTTATTATAGACATTTGGGCTTGACTGTTAGAAATTTGAAACATGAAGCGTCCAGCAGCCAAGCCCCTTCGCCGACCTGCGGCTGTGGCCAAAGCAAAGTCAGCACGGGCCCCGCGGGGTGCTTCGTCACTGGCTGGGGAAGGGGCCCAGCTGGCAAGGGCAAGCAAACATGACAAGGAGTGGTGTAACAAATCCTCTAAATTCACGAATCATGGCTTTTCTTGAGCACAGGACCACAAAGAAGATGCTGCCTACATGTGGTCTGGGGAGATGTCGGCACCACCATGGTGCCAATCTTTGGCAGAGCTGGTGGCGAACAAAAACCCCACCTTGGAAATGGAGGAAAGGGTTTATTTTGCTGTCAACATAAAAGTTGAATCAATACTTCTAATGTACGGTACGTTGCTGTGCATGCCAATTTTGGAGTTTGGGGATTCATGCATGCTCATGTTTGGGGGCAAAGCATTGGTCTCATGCAGGACATGTTAGTCTTTAATGTTTGGTCGGATTGCGCCGGCATGAGCTCGGAAACTCTGGCCCTGAAGTCCCTCGGATTGGATGTTTGTCTTGCCGAAGTATGTCAAGATTATTTCCCCATGTTGTAACCGGTATTCAATGTGACTGGAGAAATGCTTTCTGATAGTGAGGCAAGTGTTTCGTGCTTTGTCCGAAGCTTCAAACAACAGAATCAGCTTCCAAGCATTCTTGGTTGGAGCTTGCGAACCTTGGTTCAAGCCATGGACTTGTAAAGGGTTTCATGATTCTTGTTCATGATGGGAGGATGTCATAGACCCAACATAGATGTTGGAACATGCAAACGTAACATCGGATGGTCAAGGATTTCACGCCTGTTGATGGATCGTTTTCATACTTCCATGAGTGCCTGCAACATACGAAACATGTTTCACTGCATTGGAATTCATAGTTCTAACAATTTGACAAAGAACACTTGGACCTTTGAACACTTGGACCTTTGATTAGTCCAATTGTATGTTATCGTTCTGTCCCTCCAATCATCAATTTATGAGAAACTTTTGTTACAATCATGTTTCGACAAATGGATGAGGAGAAAGACACCAATGCCCGAAAGTTTCTGGAGAGGAACTACCGGGAACTGAATGAGCATATGTGGTTGACAACAGACATGGTTTCCAGATGCCTTAGCGAAGATCAGAAGGTGTTGGAAAGCACAGAGAACGGGTTCTCAGAAATGCCAGACTTTGATATCTACGTGGCCGGATTTCCGTGTACACCATGGAGCAGGTTGGGTTTCCTTAACTTGACATGACATGTTACATGCTTTCCCCGTGACATGCTCGAGCATGAGACGCTGTCATACATTGCCATATTTTCGGTTGCATGTGGTCATGTGAATAAATAGTTTAGCATCCTCCGCCCACCAAGGACATGATAGTCTGTCATGACCATGTGAATGAAAAGGTTTGCTAGGGCATGATAGGCTGTCATGACTTGCCATGTTAGGTCATGTGGCCATGTGAAAAATAGCAAAGCATATTTAGGTTCGCTTTCCAGGCGTGGGAAGCGGGAAGGATTCGAGGATGAGAATTCCAAGCCCTTTTTCACGGCCATCTTGACAATCAAGCTGAAAAAACCTCAAGTGTTTGGTCTTGAGTGTGCCAGGGCCCCATACACGTAAGTGCTTGGTTGGTGCTAATGAGAGCGTGTGCAAAAACACATAGACACAGCCACCTTTAAAGTACAGCCTGTCTTGCTCAGGTCTCCAGTGTGGCTCAGGGGCACACATCCGATGAAGCCAGTGGCAGTGGCAACAATGACCTTGATGCAATGGTGGACTATATGAACAATCATTTGCCAGATTATGTTTTTACCATCATGCGTAACCGAAGCCCCACGCACTTCAACTTTCCGATGTTGCGTCCGAGGCATGAAGGATGTCATAAGGATTCTTTGCACATGGCATGTCCTGGCATGGCATGTCATTTTTTTAAAAGCCGGCTTCCAAAATGGTGTCACAGGTTCTATGTGATCGGCTTGCTCAAGACCTTAGCATTCCCTTTGGACAATGGAATGCTGCATGAAAAGTTGACCAATGTTTGTGAGAAGATCAAGATCGAGACCGCTCCTGTCAGGGACTACATGACCTTCCTGGGCTTAAAGCCTGACGTAGACTGGGACATACTGTGACTAGATTCCTTCGATAATTTGTTTTTGCAAGTGCTACGGGACCACTGCCGAGGGTAACTTGCAAGTGCATGAAATCATGGCATGACGTAATGGCATGTCATGACGGCACGCCCGGCATGGCATGATGACATGACATGATGGCATGGCATGATGACATGACATGAGGCATGGCATGAATTGAAATGAGGCATGGCATGACATGACATGATGCCACGGCATCACATGACGGTAGTGATGCCCAGTGATGCCATGCATCTGGCGCCAAGGCACACCATTCCGATGGTCTCAGTGCTCCGAGTGCGCTGTCGGTGCACCCTGGATCCAAACTCGGTGTGTGAGACACACCCATGCAAGTGCCCGGAATGCCGTGGTGCAAAGGGGAGCCCAGGTCTGACATGCAAATGGCGTTCCCTGCACACGGAATACCTGTTGAAGAACCTTTCCCATGTGGTGTTGGCAAATGAAATTGAGAAAGTCACCTACTGTGAGGCGTTGGAAATATCAGGCACAAAAGCCCCTTCCTCCCCTCGTGAGCGGAATCTTTTGAACATCATGTCCTACCACAGTGATTCCATGGCAAGCTCCTTACTGGTGTTGGACAAGAGCCAAGCCATCAACCGTACTCAAATGTGCCCTGCCTACATTCCATTCAAACCTGGAAACTTTTTAAATGGTGAAACATGTCCAACTTAGAAGAAGTGGTCGTTTTGCCATGGCATGACTTTAGGCGCAATGATGGGATCATCCCAACGTTATGCACCTCCAGTTCTCTTTGGCTGTTTGCCATGGGGCGGGAGTTGACTGCTGCCCAGCTGGCGGCTCTGTTTGGCCACACCAGTGACAGCAAGTTTGGCGGGCTCACGGAGAAGGGGGTGATTGGACTTCTTGGAAATTCAATGCACTTGGCAGAGGCCAGGGTCTTACTCCAATCTAGTCTGGGAATAGCCACTGCAGCACCCTTGCCTCAGGTTGGAACCCTTGTGGCCAGCGCGGTCTTCATCAAGGGGCGATTGCTGTGACCAGAAGCATGCACATGCGTCATCTGATTTTGATCACTGAACGTGCCAACTCCAGCGTGGAAAACCGGCAGTGTTCTAGTCATGTTGTGTTTCTGTTGTATCCCATGGTGGCATGCTTGCATTGAAACATTTTGCCACATCATGATGATATGTCATCCCATTGTATCATGAAATGTCATGACATGTCATGTCACCTTGTCATGTCAGCATGAAATCTTGTGTCATGCCATGTCATGCAATGTCATGCCATGTCATGCAATGTCATGCCATGTCATGCCATTTCATGCCATGTCATGCCATGTCATGCCATGTCATGACATGTCATGTCAGCATGAAATCTTGTGTCATGCCATGTCATGCCATGTCATGACATGTCATGTCAGCATGAAATCTTGTGTCATGACATGTCATGTCATCGCATCATGTCATCACATGTCATCCTCATGTTCGTGATTTGCCATGTCTCCACATGTTGTCATGTCTAAACTATCTTCGCCACTTGTGACTTCAGGCTCAGAATAAGAATAAAGAACAGCTACTTTGGTGTGGCTCCCATTGTTAGTCATGACGAATAGCGTTCCACCCCCAAAGCGACGCAGAATGATTGTGGACCCCGAAGAGATGTGGGAAGTACGTGATGACCCCAGGTGGGTACTGGATGAAACATCCGACACCCAGTGCTTGATCTGGGTTGGTGAGGAAAGTCCCGAGCCTATCTTGGTGGTCGAGATTGAACCTGCGGGTGAAGGGCCTGTTGAGAATCCTTCCGCGTCTGAGCCTTCTGGGAGTTCTAGCCCAAAGAGAGTGGAACCTGAAAAACAATGAAAATGTAGTATTTAGGCACATGATTAATGCGGAAATTAATTTTCCAATGAAGGGACAAATCACCTTTCGTTGGCCTAGTTGCTTTACTTGAGGAACACGGACTCATGGCAAAGAGCGAATGGTTAAAAGTGCTTTACGAGTCATTTCATGTTGACATGGCATGTTCTCCATGTTTTGCAAGTCTTGTCATGTTGACATGGCACATTCTTCAGCTAACATGTTACTTGATATGTTATGCAAACATGGTCGTACTTCAAAGTTTACGTTGTCCTTGTCTCATTTGCCTTGCATAGTTGAACCCTGCCCCAAACAATTTCTTTTCGGAGATAATGTTGGATTCGCTTGCACGCTCAAACCTGGGTGATGGAGGTAATGCTCATTACTATTACTCAAACAAAAGGATTTGTCACAGGCTTTGCACATGCTTGCCTAGATAGATACTAGACATGCCAAGATTCCAAACAGCTTCCGCGAACCAAAATGCCCAAAAACACAAAAAAAAGACTTCCCTGGGGGGAGAGGGTTTTTTTCATCATTTTTCGATGTTTTTGAGCCACTTCATTTTAAATCTAGCAACTAGACGCGATGGTCAACTTAGGATTTGTCACAGGCTTTGTACGGCCGTACCCAGGTACGAGACGCGATGGTCAACTTAGGATTTGTCACAGGCTTTGTACGGCCGTACCCAGGTACGGGACGCGATGGTCAACTTAGGATTTGTCACAGGCTTTGTACGGCCGTACCCAGGTACGAGACGCGATGGTCAACTTAGGATTTGTCACAGGCTTTGTACGGCCGTACCCAGGTACGAGACGCGATGGTCAACTTAGGATTTGTCACAGGCTTCGTACGGCCGTACCCAGGTACGAGACGCGATGGTCAACTTAGGATTTGTCACAGGCTTTGTACGGCCGTACCCAGGTACGAGACGCGATGGTCAACTTAGGATTTGTCACAGGCTTTGTACGGCCGTACCCAGGTACGAGACGCGATGGTCAACTTAGGATTTGTCACAGGCTTTGTACGGCCGTACCCAGGTACGGGACGCGATGGTCAACTTAGGATTTGTCACAGGCTTTGTACGGCCGTACCCAGGTACGAGACGCGATGGTCAACTTAGGATTTGTCACAGGCTTTGTACGGCCGTACCCAGGTACGAGACGCGATGGTCAACTTTGGATTTGTCACAGGCTTTGTACGGCCGTACCCAGGTACGAGACGCGATGGTCAACTTTTTGCTGTGCAACATACCTCATTGATTTTGGCGTGCAAGCCAAGTGACGTTTTGTCACTTGGCTTGTACGCCCGTACCCAGGTACGAGTGTGCAAGCGGGCATTTTTCTATGTGACGCCCCTCTAAAACCCATACCTGTCACATACCAACCCCCCCCGCATGTACGCCCGTACCCAGGTACGGGCGTACGAGCCAAGTGACGTTTTGTCACTTGGCTTGCACGCTGGCATCACTGATGCAGCTTGTAAGGCTCAAAATTTCAATTCGATTTCAGGATTCTGACCTGCTGACCTCGTCTGACTCAGGGCTATGGCTGATGCGTCCGTTGTTGCAGCCCAAAGGCAACAGGCAGAAGCACGAAAGATGGCGAAATCCACGAAGACCGATGTGGACTTGAAAGCACATTTGGTGGAAGCCATGACTGAGGGGTTTGACTCCTACATGGAGAAAGTCCTCGCATCCTGACATATTTATCTTGGAGCCATGCATGAATGTCATGTTTGTCATGGGGTGGTCTTTGAAGATGAGACATGCATGTGACTTCATGGTGATAGAACGTATAGGTTCGCTCATGAACATGAGTTACGGAAATCTAATTTCATGACGTCATGACATGGCCCTGTTTTGCTTTAGGCATGGACAGCTTCAGATGAGGGAAGGCTTGGAGAGCCCTTGGGGTCAAAGTGCCCAGTCCGACCAGTGGATGAACTCAAGGACTTGGTCTCGAAGAAGACACGAGTTCAGACTGGGGGGTCTTGTGCAATGCTGGCCCTCGGTGACACTGGTCAAAAATTGTTATTCTGTCAGTAAATATTTTTTGAAATTGCTGGAAGTCAGCTTGAAAATGAAAAATCCGAGCATGTCCCACAACATGTCACTTGTGAGATTCACCAACAGTTTAACCAGCTCATGCCTTGCAAGTGTGTCACATGGGAGTTTGCCAATGACATGTTCAATATGCTCATGAATTGTCATGTTTAAATAGGAATGTGACCATGACATGTCCAACATGCTGATGACATGCCATCATGTTTCGCATGGGAGTTTGACCATGACATGTCCAACATGCTGATGCCACATGGGAGTTCGACCATGACATGTCCAACATGCTGATGACACATGGGAGTTTGACCATGACATGTCCAACATGCCCATGACTTGCAACATGCCCCGCATATGGGTTTATGGTACCACATGTTGACTTTTGATGACTTTTGTTTATCACAGGCTCCCTACCATGGACATAACTTGATAAGGAAAGGGCAGTGGGCGTATGGCAGACTCGCCGGATCGAGACTGTCTTGATGAAGTGGGACGGTGTTCCAGGGAACTTGGGCCACATCATTCCCACCTTGAAGGTGAATTCGGATCTGTGGGCTTCAGACACTGGCACGATCAAAGACCTGCAGCGGCTCAACGGCGATTCCGAGTTGGCAGCTGCGCTTCTGATAGCCTATTGGTTCAGGAACAACAGTGACATTTGCCACTGGTTGAAAAGAGAGCTTGCAGACATCGTGTTGGAATTCTACAGCTACGGCGTGGGCTCGCAGTTCGACTTAGCAAAGTTCGGCACCACGGCTGAATTAGTTTTCCAACACTTATTGGTATCAGGGTTCATGCTAGTTTCTCACCTTAGCTCCTAGTTACCTAACCTACTAGTAGGTCTGGTCGAAGAGGAAGAACGGGACCGGCAAGTCATTGGACTCGGGGCGGCCGACAAGTGCCTTGTCCTAGCGAAGATGGTGGATGGCGCAATGACCGAAATGGCCCTGTCGGAGGACAAGGCGATCGAGGCCTTGTTGAGCAAAGGGAACTACATGCGGGGATGGCACCCTGGCCTTCCCATTCACATGTCATGACATGATTGACATGGATTTGTCACTGATTGCATGCCATGACATGGTTGATCAGGTTACAGGTTGCCATGTTTCCATGTTGCCATGCAACCAGTTGTTGTTATGATTCCATGTTGACATGATGCCATGTGGCCATGACTCCATGTCGACATAACGTGGCCATGACTCCATTGACATGATGCCATGTGGCCATGACTCCATGTTACATGCCTTAACGTGGCCATGACTCAATTGACATGATGCCATGTGGCCATGACTCCATGTTACATGCCTTAACGTGGCCATGACTCCATTGACATGATGCCATGTGGCCATGACTCCATGTTACATGCCTTAACGTGGCCATGACTCCATTGACATGATGCCATGTGGCCATGACTCCATGTTGACATGATGCCATGTCATCATATACTGACATGCTCTCATGTTGACATACTAACTGTCATGGTTTTGGGAGGTTGCATTCTGACTGGTGCTTTAGGAACCTCAGCACTTGCCAGCGCTACACCAACATGGGCAGAAAGCTGAAGGAGCTTCCAGCTGTCATGGAGGCATTGAACACCATGTCCCACCGCTTTGGGCGTGATGGTCCCCTTGACGGAATCACCAACCTCCGCTCCCTGTTCTCACTGGGCCTCAACTCCGATGACATGGTCTTTGTCATCGAGACCCTGATGATGGAGAATTTTGGCATGCATTCCCCCAAAACTTAAGCTTTTGACAAATGGGTTTCTATGGGATTCTATGGGTTGAAATTGGGACGTGCTACAGGAAAGCTTCTGGTATCAGAAAAGCGTTGGGCCCCGTGCGCACTGGCACGATTCGGTTTGACGTGACCAAAGTTCTGAAGGCCATTCTCGTTCGCAGGGACTACATGGTGCATTTGCGTAACCAGTTTCCCAACATGGCTAGCTACATGCATGACCACGGAACGTTGGCATGGTACACACGAACCTTCGGTCTGAACAGTCTCGGGGAAAAGGATGGCCAAAGAGTTGAAGAGCAAGATGAAGAGGAGAATGAGCAGGACCAGCAAACACAGGCCAGTAGCTTTATGTCCCTGAAACCCTTGGTCACCTTCGTGGAGAGAATGATGAGGGGGACCTATGATATCGCGCTGTGCAAGCTGTCAGGGGATTCGATTGCAGGGAAATCATTGAACCTTGGGTCCCAGGATGACAACATGAAGAGCATCATCAGTGACATCTCCGCGAAGTATGCCTTGGACTTCCCCGCCCCCAAGGAGAATGCCCATGAAGCTCGCATCACACATGCTGACGGCATGGAGGTGATCAAATCGACGGTGCAGGACAAGGCAGACTATGAGATCGAGTTGGACAAGTACCTCAAGGCCTCTGCGGAAAACGAAACCCAGCAAATCAAGGAGTACATCATGTCCAGGATCGCCTTTGTCATCGACGACCTGACCGACGACTTGCCAAGCAAAATCGCAAAGCAGGGCCTGGCAAAGGAGAGCAAGAGAAAGATGTGCATCTACTCTACAGAGCTTTTCGGTCATGTCAGACATGACCCATTTTTTCCCCGTCATGTGTTTATCATGATTTTTTGGGTCTCATGCTTGACATGTTTGACATGAATCATGGTAGACATGCATGGCATTATTCCATGCGTCAGGCATCCACAGACCACAAATTAAGGCTTGATGGCCCTGTGGCATGGCAGCAGATCAAGGCACGCAGGTTGAACCCATTTGGGGGAACTGGTCCTGGAGTCTCCAAGACCCGGGTTGAACGTGCAGTGAACATTTATGAGGCAGGGTGGGTTTCACTTGGGACTTGGAAAGCCATGCCATATCCATGACATGGCAACAATTTTACGATTTGAAGTTGGCAAGGCATATATCATGGCATGGCTGGCATTCCATGTTAACATGACATCACGTGGCATATCATGGCATGGCATTCCATGTGAACATGAAATCACGTGGCATATCATGGCATGGCATTCCATGTGAACATTGAACATGACATCACGTGGCATATCATGGCATGGCATTCCATGTGAACATGACATCACGTGGCATATCATGGCATGGCATTCCATGTGAACATGAAATCACGTGGCATATCATGGCATGGCATTCCATGTGAACATGAAATCACGTGGCATATCATGGCATGGCATTCCATGTGAACATGACATCACGTGGCATATCATGGCATGGCATTCCATGTGAACATGACATCACGTGGCATATCATGGCATGGCATTCCATGTGAACATGACATCACGTGGCATATCATGGCATGGCATTCCATGTGAACATGACATCACTCCAAACATGGCACGCGTACTGTGAACCCAACATAAATACAGACATGGTGCCATTTTCAAACGTCTTGGTGGCAGGAGATTCGTCGTGCTGAGCGTGACGCGGAGTTGCAGGACAAGTCCTTGTTGATCATGACATGCAAGGTTGGCTTGCATGAATGGCATGTAAGGGAAGCAGGCTGATTATTGTGTCATGAACATGACATGAGGATACACATGTCCATGGCCTGGCCTCACATGACACTATGGCATGGCAATGGTGACATATAATAGTAATATGAGGTCGACACGCTGAAATCCAAGTCGGCCCTGGACGTCGTGAAAAATGAGCTTGGCAAACTGACGGGTGCCAAGAAGCATGCCTTGACAGTGGCCACCATCGAACCGAATGCCACTGACTCCCTCCAAAGGTTCAAGCGTGGGAGGAGGGCATTTGGGAGCAAGATTGAGGATCGTTTCGTTGCTTGCTCAGTGTCTGCCATCTCCAGCGCGCACTGTGGTGCCATGCAGTTTCTTGAGGGAGGGGACACCTATTTCACCAAGTGGCCAGTGAGATTGATCCCTGTTTCGGATCTCAAGCAAATGGACGAACTGGCCTATGAAAAGCTCTATGACTTTCGTTGGCACTTAAGTTGGTGGTAAACAAGTCATGATATTTAAAAAACATCCAGCTAAAGCCCCAACAGACCTGTGCAACTCTTTAATTGTCTTGTCATGCATGGTCATGCATGGTCATGCATCGTCATGGTATGTCATGGTGATAACATTATGTTGACACATGTGTGAGGAGAATGATATGACCCCGGACCGGGACGACTCCGAAGACTGCCATGGGTCAAACGATGCAATGGACTTGAACATGAATGACAAGAACGTGGTTGCCTTTCCGCATGAACACCATTGGACTTTGACGCAGGAGTTCTTGGCGGTCTTCGGCGGCCCGGGCAGTGTCACTTTGATCGACTTGACCCCAGGCTCTGGTGCAAAGCTCCTCGGAGTGCTCCTCTCCAATGGCAGGGGAATCGGGGTTGCCCGCACTGCAGCACACTGCAAATGGATGATGGAGAATCTGATTGGATGGACTCGGCAGAAGCGCCTGGTGCCAATTACCCAATTGGTGAAGCCAGACAGCCTGGTGCAGTATGAGAAGCAGAACAAGCCAGCGCCAGCACCCATCCCGAAGAACAGCCCGCAGCCGAAGGCAGTGATGAACACGCCGCAGACCCCGAACCCGTCTCCATCACCGAGCACACCTGCAGTGCCGAAATCAGCTGGTAGCAATGGTGGTGGGCCTTCTCCTCCTGTCAAGCCGACCGGCTTGCTGGAAGCCTTTGGCAAGGTGGCCCAGTCATGATAGAGTCCAGTGAGGACCTTAGTTTTGGCTCAATGTGTG